TGTCAGGATGAAATAAGGGTGTTTGGTTTGTGTCTCCTCCATTGAGGAGACACACCTGTGTGATTAACATGCCTGGTTCTCTTAGTGCTTCTCCGTGAGTAGAATGGCCTCCCCCAACACTGTATCATGTTAGCTGTTTTGTTTTGTTCTGTTTTTTTTTTTCCTATTTCTTTTTGTTTGTACAGGTCTCCTGTAGTCCAGCCTTGCTTTAAATTCCTGATTGTTCTGCCTCCACATCCTGAGTGTTGAGATTACAGACATGCCCCCAAATGCCCAGCTTTTTGTTTGTTTTCTTTACAAATGTTCTAGTGCCTCATAAATAAATAATTTTGTTTTATTATGTCAGGGTCTTACATATTGCAGGCTGTGGTGTCCCTTGAGCTCCTGATTCTCCTGTCTCTACCTCCCAAGTGCTGGGACTATGTACTACCATGCCCTGTTTAATACTTTTTTTTTTTTTAAATCTTTCACCCCTGCTAGTAAAAATATTTAAAGCTTTGCTTGTGAATTTGATATTTCTTCTATCCATCTAGACAAGTATACCAGTGAACCTAGGAAAAGTATCTGTGAGACTGTGGTGATCTAGGGTTTACTCTATCAGTTGTAAACCTTGGTAGACATTGCAACAAGGATCAGCAGTGTCCTTACATGAACCACTACTCAAATCAAAAAGTAAAACATTAACGTTGCATACTCCCTGTGTTTTCTATCATAGAATCATCTTTACTCCAAAGGTTTACAGACAGGTCTTAGTTGTTTTTCTATTGCCACAACAAAACACCATGGCCAAGGCAACTTATGAAATAAAAAGTTTAATTTGGCCCTCATGGTTCCAGAGGGTTAGAGTCCACGTTGAGGAGCATGGCAGCAGGTAACTCATTGGAACAGGAGCTTAAATCTGATCTACAAGCATGAGGCAGAACAAGAGAGACACTGGGAAAGGTTTGGACTTTGAAACCTCAAATACCACGCCCAGTGGCCTGCAACAAAACCTTACCTCCTAATCCTTCCCAAACACATCCACCAACTGGGTACCAAATATTCAACCATGTGAGTCTATGGGGGGGGGGGGGGTCGTTCTCCTTCAGACACCACAAGACATCCTAACTTCTGTTGCCACAGGTTCCTTTCTTCTTTTGGGTGTGTGAGTGTGGGCTCACCTGTGCCATCACGTGTATAGAGATCAGAGGACAATTTTGGAGAATCTATTCTCATCTTACTCTATGTTGAGGCAGGTCTCATGTTCCTGTACTTGCATTACGTACTCCAGGTTATCTGGCCTTTGAGCTTCCGGTGCTTTGTCTAACCTCTTCCCATCTCACTGTGGCAGTACTGACATCATATATGTGTGCCACTGTATTGGACTCCCCCCTTTTTATTTAAATATGGTTCTGGGAGTGGAACTCATTGTCAGGTTTGTATGACAAGCACCTTTCCCCACTGAACCATCATGCGTCCTGTTCACTTGTTTCTGAACCACTGACTCATTATGTAGCTTTGACTCACCTGAACCTTGCTATGTTGACCAGGCTGGCCTCCAACTCGAAGAGATCCTCCTGCCTCTGCCTCCCAAGTTTAGGATTAAAGAGGTGTGCTACCATGCCCAACAGTTCAGTGTGTTTTGAATACAGCTCTATAACCACCAACAGAACCAACACCGAATACTTCCATCACCCTAAAAAGTTCCTTTGTAGCAGATATGTCTTCCCACTCACAACTCTGGTATTATTTTGTTTTTGTTTTTGAGACAGGGTTTCCCTGTGTAATTTTGGTGCCTGTCCTGGATCTCGATCTGTAGACCAGGCTGGCCTTGAACTCACAGAGATCCGCCTGGCTCTGCCTCCTGAGTGCTGGGATTAAAGGCATTTGCCACCACTACCGCCCGGCCTTTTTTTTTTATTTATTTGAAGAGATCTATTTATTTTTATGTTATGCATCTGAATGTTTTGCCTTTATGTCTATGTTCCACTTGTATGCAGTGCCTTCAGAGGTCAGGAGAGGACAACAGATCCCCTGGAACTAGAATTACAGACGGTTATGTAATCAAACCCAAGTCCTCTGGACGTGCAGCCAGTGCTCTTATCTGCTGAGTCATCTTTCCAGCCCTATTCGGTTTTCTTAAAAAAAAAAAAAAATCCAAAACTCATGTGCCTCCCCATGGGAGGCCTTGCCTTCTTGTGGGGGAGTAATGGGGGGTGGGTTGGGAGGGAGGCTGGGGGGGGTGGGAGGAGGGAAGAGGGGGACCTTTAATTGGTGTGTAAAATGAATGAAAAAATTTTCTTAATAAAAAAATCCAAAACTCTAGCCAGGCAGTGGTGGCACACGCCTTTAGTCCCAGCACTCAGGAGACAGAGGTATGCAGATCTATGATGAAGCCAGCCTGGTCAACAAATCGAGGTCCAGGATAGCTGGGGCTAAACAGAGAAACCTTGTCTTGGGGGAAAAAAAATCCAAAACTCATTTCTTTTCGGTGTTCAAAATGGAGAGAGCCAATTATAATCTTTTTGTTAATCTTCATTATCAAATTGTGAGGATTTAGAAACACCTAGGATGTTGGTGATATATACCTTTGGGTGTTTTCAAGGGGGATTACTACTAACAAAGTGGGGGTGAGCCATCCTGAATATGAGCAACACCATCCCTTGGACTGGGAGCCCAGACAAAATCAAAGGGGAGAAAGGGAAAAGCCAGCCAAGAGTGCCCGCGTTTTACTTCCTCTGTTTCCCAGCCTGAGAGGCTGTGAACTGTTGTTTCTTTACATTATATTCTCCCTGCCACACTGAACTGCACACACCTTCTGAAATAAGGACCCCAGACAAACCTGTGCCCTCTTAGGATTTTGTCAGGTAAATGGAAATGTGATACATTTTCTCACTGGCTACATAGAACTGGACAAATATAAAAACAACCATAAAAACAAGCAAAAGCAGATAATCTCTTTATTAATAAGGAGCATACTTGACATGGTGGTTGTCTTACTTTTCTACTGCTGTAAAGAGACACCATGACCAAGACAACTTATAAAATAAAGCACTTAACTGAGGACTTACTACTATTTGAGATGGAGAGTTCATGACCATCATGGCAGAAGGCAGGCAGGCATGGGACTGGAGAAGTAGCTGAGAGCTTGCTTGCATCTGATCCACTGGAAGCAGAGAGAGAGCTAACTAGTAATGACAAGATTTTTTAAACCTCTAAGCCCACCCCTAGTGACACACCTCCTCGGACACACCTCCTCAAAGGCCACACTGTAGGCTACACTTTCTAATCCTTCTGAAACAGATGTTCAAATATAAGTGCCTATGGGGGCTATTGTTATTCAGAAGACCACAGTGGTGCATGCCTGTAATTCCAGCGCTAGGGAGGAAGATGTAGGAAAAAAATCACTTAAAGTTTGAGGTCAGACTTAGTGACATGAGACCCAGTTACAAACAAAAGCTCACCACTCTGAAATAACTATCACTAAATTATTGATCTGTATTTTATAGAAGTATGGTTTTGGCTTTTTAAAGGCCTACTGATTGTCTCTGTTCTGACAAGTGCTGGGATCACAGGCATGCTCCACCATGCCCACCTTGAATTTTTCTAAAAATCAGAATTCTGTATATAAACAAAATCGAGAACATTTATTTCTTTTCAATACAGTTTGTAATGCTGGGCGTTGGTTGTCACGCATGCCTTTAATCCCAGCACTCGGGAGGCAGAGCCAAGTGGATCTCCGTGAGTTCGAGGCCAGCCTCGTCTACAGAGTGAGTTCCAGGAAAGGCACAAAGCTACACAGAGAAACCCTATCTCGAAAAACCAAAATAAACAAACAAACAAATAAATACAGTTTGTAACTTGTTACTACTGATTTCTAGCTACTGAAGAACCCACATTTGCTAATTATCTAGAATCTTTAACTGTTCTTTTGTTTTTAAAAATGTAGCTTGAGCCTGAAGAGATGGGGAGAGAGAGGTTAAGGGCTCTTATTCTTCTTCTATAAGACTGGGGTTCAATTCTCAGCACCCACATGGCGGCTCACAGTCTGTAACTCCAGTCTCAGGGAATTTGACACCTTTTTTTTTTTTTTTGCCACTGCATGCATATGGTGCAGATATATACACAGACAAAACACCCACACAGATAAATAAAAAATAGTTTATTACCACCTATGATTGTCATTAAAATAGTGTATTTGGCTGAATGTTAACATTTTTCTCCTTAAAGGTATTTTTGTCAAGTTCTGCAGTACGAAAAAATAAAGCTCTATGGTGGTGCAGGCCTTTAACCCCAGCACTCGGGAGGCAGAGGCAGGTGGATCTCTGTGAGTTCAAAGCCAGCCTGGTCTACAGAGCGAGTCCCAGGACAGCGAGGGCTACACAGAGAAATCCTGTTTCAGAAAAAAAATAAATAAATAAGGCTCTATAACGAAATCGTAAACATCGGGAGAACTCAGGGGACATTGTCTTGTATCCAGAGCCAGCCCTCTCAAAAGACAGAAGCATGGAAGAACATGAATATCCGTGAGTCCTCAATGCCTTAGATATAACTACTTAAATAAAGGTAAAGTAACGTCTCTTCCCTATCGCAATGCCCTGGGTGACAGGCACAGGGCATCTGTCTCTTGCCAGCCATAGGGACCAGTGAACCGTGCAAAGCTCTCAAACCAGCAGCTGTCAAGAGGCTGCTGAACCTCTGGGATGCGCGCGCAGCACGATCGGAGTCTGCGCATGCGCAGTCGCCGCGAACATGGCTGCCGCGGGCCGACAACAGTGAGTCCCTCCGCGCCTCGGTGCCGTTCTCTGCTTCAGCTTCCCCGTTGTGCGGGTGGGAATCGAAGGGTATTGGTGGGCTGGCGTGCAGTGCGTCTGCGTTGGGTTTCACGGGGGCCGTGGGTGTGGCCGGGGACGCTGCTGTCTTCGCGCGTGTGCACGCCCCCGGGTCGGAGAGATAGATCCCTTTCTGGCTGGTGTGAACGCTCCGCCGCGCTGCTATCGGGTGAGGTTGTCCCGGTCCTTTCCTCCGTGTAGGACACCTCCGTATGGACCAGGTGGCCTTGTCTCGAGCACGGTCCTTCCCGGAGGTTTTGCAGAGATCCTTTGGGCGCCCGGGCCCTCCGAATCTGCCATTCTCGTGCTGAGGTGGCTGCCTGGCTCCAATGGGCGGGGCTGTTTTCCGTGGAATCTTCTAGGCAGTTTCCCCTTCCCTCTACTGATACTTGCAAAATAATATATGTGTGTGTTTATATAATATGTTTGTACCCAGGTAGGATTCCCCCCTCCATCTGCTTTCTAGCCATTTCACTATCTCGTCCTTGGTTTTCAGTGGTTTTATTTCCCTGTAAAAGCACGCTTTTGTCCATCTCCCTCCAATAACTTCCCTCCGTTCTCCCTCTGCCTTCTCCTCCCAGCTTTTGTAATTTGAAAGATTTCATACCTACAGCCAAGTTGCAGGCATAGTTTAGTGACAACGCTGAGTGTGTGTGTTTGTGTGTGTGTGTGGTTTTGAACCAAGCACCTTGTATGTGCTAGGCAGTCACTATCATTGAGCTCCATCTTTTATGTTTATTTTAATCATTCTAAGGTTTATGGAGTTATCTCTTCCGTAAGTCTTTTCGCCATCATTTTATAAATGTGTGTGTGAGAATTTGTGTGAATTAGGACTTAGAATATTTTCCCATCTGAAAAAGCAGTAAAAGAAATATGCACTCTTGTCAGGCATGATGATGCATGCCTGCAATCCCAACACTTGAGAGAGGAGCAGTTCTACACAAGCTAGCACAGTCTCATAACTGAATTTATTTCCTGAATTTTTAATGTACCATCAAGGTGCCAGCTGGTGAGTAGTCCAATAGATCTGATCCTGGTGGGCTCAACACACTTAAAAAACAACAGTAACAACAAAAAACCTGGCTATGTGGGCATACCATGTAGTTTATCCTCTTAAGGTGTATAGTTCAGCATTTTTGTTGCTATTTTTGCTTGAGACAGGGTCTCTCTATGTAGTCTTGACTGGCCTGGAATTTGCTATATAGACCAGGCTGGCCTTGGACACAGAGATCCACCCACCTCTGTTTCCTGGGTTCTGGGATGAAAGGCCAGCATCACCATGCCTGGCAATTTTAGAACCTTTTCATCAGTTACCACCCCAAAGGAAACCCATACTCACCCCTCCTCCCCAAAGAAAACCCATACTCATTAACTATCACTTTTATCTCCTCCATCTCTCCTTGCTGTAGCCTTTTTTGTCTGTTTTGGAGATTCATATAACTAGTTGTAGACTCTGTGGTCCTTTGTGTCTGGTTTCTTTGACTTAGAAAACTTCTTCAAAATTCATCCTTGTTATAGAATTTATATGTACTTTGCTCAGTTTTGTAATACTCTGTGGATTTTTATTTCTTCAGTGTATTTTGTTTTGGATGTCACAAATAATGCTGTGAACCTTTTAAGAATAGCTATGTGTTTTTCTGTCTTGTGGAATAGCTACACAGAAGTGGACCTGATTACAACATCTTAGTGAATACGAAGTGATATCTCATTGTTGCTTTGATTTGAGTTTTTCTCGTGGCTAGTGATATTGAGCATCTTTTCTTTTGCTTATTGTTTACTTGCAAGCTAGGAAGTGACCCCTTCCCTAAACCTGAGCATGGTTTTGGATTTCCCAAACTCCAGGACTGTGAGATACAACTTTATGTCACTTATGCCATGAGACTATTGTGTATTTGAATTCAGAAAGCAATCTAAAGCAAGACAAGATCTTTGCTTTGTTCATTTAAAAAATGTGGGTTGTCATATTTATTTATTTATTGAGGGGCAGGGTCTCCTTTCAAGTGCTGGGATTATAGGTGTGCCTCACCATGCCTGTCTCATTTTATTATTGGCTTTTGAGTTTTATGTGTTCTAGATATGTTGTCTCCCATCTGGTGTGTTTCTTTTGACTTTGTTGGTTGTGTTAAGTCTTAGGCTTTGATAAAATAAGTATTAGTTCTAGGTGAAATTAAATTTGTATTTATTTATTTATTCATCTGTTTATTTAAAAAAAATTCTCAAGGTAGTTACCCACCTTATTCAGAAGACAATCATGATCTGAACTTAGGTAGAACTTGTCAGATCTTAAATTTTTTACTTTTTATTTTAATTTTATGTGTATGGGTGTTTTGTTTGTGTGTATTCATGTGCACCATATGCATGCAGTGCTCACAGAGACAAAAAGCAGGTATTTGATTCTCTGGGACTGGAGTTAGAGATAGTTCTGAGCCTTCATGTGGATGCTCGGAATCGTTCATGGGTCCTTTGCAAAAACAGCAAGTGCTCCTCACTGTTGAACCATCTCTCTAGCCCTCTCGTTTTACATTTTTTTAAATAAAAATTTTTTTTTAATTTATTTTACATAACCAACCACAGTTTCCCCTCCATCCTCTCCTCCTGTTCCCTCCCTCCACATCCCTTAAATCCCCCTCCCCTCATCCACTCCTCCTTTCAGAAAGGGTAAGGCCTCCCTTGGCAGTCAGCAAAACATGCCATATCAAGATGATGCGGGACCAAGCTCCTCCCCCCCTGCATCAAGCTTGAGTGAGGCATCACACTTTAGGGAATAGGTTCCAAAAAGCCAGCTCATGCACTAGGAGCCCCACAAACAGACCAAGCTACACAACTGTCACCTACTTGCAGAGGGTATATGTCGGTCCCATACAGGCTTCCTAGCTGTTGGTCTAGAGTTTGTGAGCTCCCATGAGGTTGGGTCATCTGTCTCTGTGGGTTTCCCCATCATGATCTTGACCCTGCCTTGCTCGTATAATCTTCCTCCCTCTTTTCCGCTGGACTCCTGGAGCTTGGCCCTGTGCTTAGCTGTGGATCTCTGCATCTGCTTCCATCAGTTACTGGATGAAGGGTCTATGATGACATAGGGTAGTCACCAATCTGATGACAGGAGAAAGCCAGTTCAGGTATCCTCCCCACTATTGCTAGGAGTCTTAGCTGGGGTCATCCTTGTAGGTTCCTGGGAGTTTCCCTGGCACTAGGGTTTTTCCCTAACCTCATAATGGCCTGCTCTATCAAGATATCGCTTTCATTGCTGTCCCACTCCATCCCTCCCCCAACTTGACCATCCTGATCCCTCATGTTCCCATCCTTTCATTGCCTCCCATTTAACCCCCTCCCGCCCCCAGTTTACCCAGGAGATCCATCTATTTCCCCTTCCGAGGGCGATCCACGCATCCCTCTTAGGGTCCTCCTTGTTACCTAGCTTATCTGGGCCTGTGGATTGTAGCCTAGTTATCCTTTGCTTTACATCTGATACCCACTTATGAGTGAGTACATACCATGTTTGTCTTTTTGGGTCTGGGTTGCCTCACTCAGGATTTATTTCTAGGTCCATCCCATTTGCCTGCAAATTTCTTTTTTTTTTTCCTTTCATTTTTCTTTATTAAGAAATTTTCTACTCACTCCTCATGCTATCCACAGACCCCCCCTCCTCCCTCCTCTCAACCTCCAGCCCTCTTTCCCAAGTCACCCCACATCCCCACATCCCCCAAATCGAGGTCTCCCATGGGGAGTCAGCAGAGCCCAGCGCACTGAGCCTAGGCAGATCCAAGCCCCTTCCCACTGCACCAAGGCTGTGCAAGGTGTCATACCACAGGCACCGGGTTCCAGAAGCCTGCCCATAGACCAGGGACAGATCCTGATCCCCCTGCCTGGGTTGCCCCCAAACGGTTCGAGCCAAACAACCGTCTTCTGTATCCAGAGTTGCCTGCAAATTTCATGATGTCATTGTTTTTTTTTACCACTGAGTAATACTCCATTATGTAAATATACTACATTTTCTTTATCCATTCTTTGGTTGACGGGCATCTAGGTTGTATCCAGGTCCTGGCTATTATGAATAATGCTGATATGAAAATAGTTGAGCATGTGTCCTTGTGGTATGATTGAGCATCCTTTGGGTATATGCCCAGTGGTATCTCTGGTCTAAAGGTAGATTGATTTGCATTATTTTGAGAAACTGCCATACTGATTGCCCAGAGTGGCTGTACAAGTTTGCACCCCTACCAGCGGGGGAGGAGCGTTCCCCTTACTCCTCATTTTATTTTTAAGTCCTCTAATATTTCTTAGGATATTCTTTCCCTTTAAAAATACGTTTTTCATTTATTACACATAGGGATTGTATATAAATGGAGTATAGTGTGAGAAGTGAACTCACTAGCATTCTGTTTTATTTTTTTTAGTCAAGTTAATAGTAGGTGGTAAAAGTATAGTCATAATTTTAATCATACATAAAATGCCTCAAATTTTACATGTTCAAGCATTTTTCCCCCTTTTTCTTGTAAGGTGGCAAAAGTGGTAGCCAAGCTTGAATTTTCTTTTTAGTGGAAGAGCAAGGTGCATACTATGTTGTTCTGGAGCACCACCCAGTGGGAATTTATGGTTCATCCAAATGAAATTAGGAGCAGTGGATAATTGTGTTTTAGCTAACAGCCATTCTAGGAACACCATGATTTACCCACAGCTGCAGATGTGGTTTTTCTATTCATACTAGTAGTATATACAATCCATCAGTCATAACAGCTTGGAGAAAATCCATAGCTAGCCGTGGGTCCCCATGGCTGTTCACCTGCTACATTGTTACTGTTTGTAATGCTGGGACTGGAACACAGGGTATTTATTAGACAGGCTAGGTCAGCTCTCTTCCAAGATACACTCCTAGCTCTGTGGTCTTCTTTTTTCACTATAAGCATTAAAGAATAATACTTTCTGTCCAAGAACTAACTTCACTGCAGCCCCGTTTGTCATGTTTTGTGATAATAGCATTTTTATTCTTGTTTACTTATAGTTATATTCTTATTTTTATCAAGGTTTTCGTTCTGTCCATCACTGAAAAATAGGTCATCATGTTAATACTTTTCCAAAGAAGCACAGGTTTGTTTTATCTATTGTTTTCTTGTATTTGGTTTTCTTCTGTCGATTGGTTGTTAGCTTGACTGCATTGTATCCAGTAGACTGGTCTTTCCGGCTATTGTCTGGCCTTTGCTCAGTATTTTTTGTGGTCTGGTTTATAGTCGTGTTAAGCGAATGTTTCACATGTGCTTAGAAAACACTTGCCTTTCAGTGTACATTGCTTTTCATCCCGTTGTTTGATAAGGCTAGCTACTAAAAATTTTTGCTGCTTGTCTTTGTCCAGCAGTTTTTTTCTTTGAATTTCCAGTTCTGAAAAGAAATAAGCCTTTTATGTGTTTGGATATATTGGCTTCTTCTTCCATTCAAGGATGCCTTCTCTGTGTTTTGTTGCATATTACTACTGTTGTATTTCACTGTGCTCCTTATCTGGCCAACACTGATTTTTTTTTTCTTTTCAGCATTGGATTGGATTTATCTATTTATCATTTACTTTTTTTTTTCTGTTTCCTCCTTTCTTCAGTTCCCCCTCTTTTGAAGAATTGTCTTTGCTTTTCTGAATTTGTTTTTATTTTACTCTCACTCCTGAATCTTGGTGAACCTTGTGGTTTTTCCTTCAGTAATTTGAAAGAAACTTTCCATCATTCTTGGTCTTCTACTTTGCTATTAAGTAATCATGACTAATCACATTGTTTCATCTTCACCATTACTGGTCTTTTTCCTTCCTTCCTTCCTTTCTTTTCTTTTCTTTCTTTTTTTTTGGTGGGTGGGGGGAGGTTTCGAGACAGGGTTTCTGTGTGAAGCAGTTCTGGCTGTCCTGGAACTCACTCTGTAGATCAGGCTGGCCTCAAACTCACAGAGATCCGCCTGCCTCTGCCTCCCGAGTGCTGGGATTAAAGGCATGGGCCACCACCACCCAGCCCTTCTTTTCTTTTAAGATCATTCCATAGGGTGCTGGAGAGATGGCTGAGTGGTTAAGAGCATTAGCTGTTCTTCCAGAGGACCTGGGTTTAAATCCCAGTCCTTACATGGTGGCTCACAACATCTGAAACTCCAGTTCCAAGGGATCCTATACCATCTTCTGGCTTCTGCAGGCATCAGACATGTATGTGGTACACATATAAACTTGCACAGAAGACACCTATACACATAAAGTAAAACAAAAATTATATAAAAAAAATCATTTCATAGGTATGTATAGGTATTAACTTGTTATTATTTATCCTTACACAGTATTCCTTTGACCTGTTCTCTGAGAGAGTTACAATGTAATGTCACTTCTTTTGAACCTGCTCTTGGCTTCAGCACTTGGCTCCCATTTGAACCCCCTATTTTAAAGATATGAATTTGAAAAAGAAAACAAGTAAAATATACTCACTTAGCCTATTATCATTTTTCATTCCCCCCCAGATATATCTGTGTCTACTTAATTTGTCTTTTTCTTTCTTTTCAGTATGGAACATGAAACTGAAAATAATAGCTCAGAATGTTTCTGAAGAAGAAGAAGAAGAAGTTTCCTTTGAGGTAGAAATGGAAGGATTTAAAAGAGAGGAATCCTGCCTCCCCATTTTAGGTGACAATTGGGACTGTGAGAACCAGGAAAGAAATTTAAGGCAGTCTCCTTTAATTGATGAGAAACCAGGGGCTCAGGAAGCAAACTGTGACCATCTTGGTTTGGGGGAGCATTTGAGTACAAATCCAGCCCTTCTAGCAACAAATGGCTTTCATGTTCATAACTCAGATACTAAAACTTTTGATTGTGAGCAGACCCTACATAGTTGTCCCCAGAGTTATACAGCGAGGGGAACTGGTGATAGTGATGCTTGTGAAAAAGCCATCCACTCTTCCATGGAAGTCACTCAGCCTATAAGAAACCAAATGAGAGACAAACCATATAAATACGCAGAAAGTATTAAATCTCTAAACTACTTTACTACTCCCCTTTGTGATAAAAAAATTAAGAAAAGAAGCAAGAAATTTTACAAAGGTAAGGACTTTGGGGACATTTTGGCCCTGAGCTCATCTCTTAATGAAAAAAGAAGTCATTCCATTGAGAAACCCTATAAATGTACTGAATGTGGCAAATGCTTCAAACGGAACTCTTCTCTTGTTTTACACCACCGAACTCACACTGGTGAGAAACCTTATACCTGTAATGATTGTGGAAAATCATTCTCCAAGAACTACAACTTGATTGTACATAGAAGGATTCATACAGGAGAGAAGCCCTATAAATGCAGTAAATGTGGGAAAGCTTTTAGTGATGGATCAGCTCTGACACAGCACCAGAGGATTCACACAGGTGAGAAGCCTTATGCATGTCTAGAATGTGGAAAAACTTTCAACAGAAATTCATCCCTGATTTTGCATCAAAGAACTCATACCGGGGAAAAACCATATAGATGTAATGAATGTGGGAAACCCTTCACTGACATCTCTCACCTTACTGTACATCTCAGAATCCATACTGGTGAGAAGCCTTATGAGTGCAGCAGATGTGGAAAGGCTTTCCGAGATGGCTCATACCTCACCCAGCATGAGAGGACACACACTGGAGAGAAGCCTTTTGAATGTGTAGAGTGTGGGAAATCCTTCAATCGCAACTCTCACCTCATTGTGCATCAGAAAATTCATTCTGGGGAGAAACCCTATGAATGTAAAGAGTGTGGGAAAACTTTCATTGAGAGTGCATACCTCATCAGGCATCAGAGGATTCACACTGGTGAGAAGCCCTATTGTTGTAACCAGTGTCGTAAACTCTTCAGGAACATCGCTGGACTTATCCGGCATCAGAGGATTCATACTGGTGAAAGGCCTTATGAGTGTAATCAGTGTGGTAAAGCTTTTAGGGATAGTTCCTGTCTGACCAAACACCAGAGGATTCACACTAAAGAGACTCCATACCAGTGCCTGAAGTGTGGAAAGTCCTTCAGGCAGAATACTCACCTGGTAGTACACCAGCGACTTCATAACAGGGAGGGTCCCAGCCAGTGTCCTCATTGTGGGAAAATATTTAGAAGGAGCTGGTGTCTTGTCCGACATCAGAGAACACACATTAAAGAGCAGCCTGTGGAAGCATAATGAACGTGGGCCATATTCTTCTTGAGTGAACAAAGGAGATGTATCTTCATATATGACTTCCCTTGTTAACAGAAAAGAATTTGAATATGAAATATTCTATTATCCCATTAATTCTGTTATTAGGGAACTCCTGAAGAGAGGATTGAATGGTAATCAATGTAGAAAAGACTTCAGGGATGATTAAGCCTATACCAAACATGTAGTGCATACACTGAAATAAAGTACCCAGAAGTGAGGATATTTCCCTAGAAATACCCATCTAACTACATCAGGATACTTAAATTGGAAAGAACCTGTGAATGCATTCAGTAGCTAATCAGTAGGAGGCATCTTTAATAGAGAGTATCACCTTATTGTATATAAGCAAATGATGATTAGACTCTAAGCTTCTAAGTTTAATTAGGAAGAGAAGCTTTTGTCAGGAGGTTTTACTGTCTTTCCTGTATCAGCAAAGGCAGGCATAGTGGTGAGAGGTCTCACACAATGCCCCACAACAACCACAGGGTTTAGTTGAGTTTGCTGTTTGAATGCACTTCTGTTTTATGGTGCTGCCAGAACACTGAGGACTCATTTAATGAGGTGAAACTGGATGTAAGAGTTGCTTGTGATTGAAATGAATTTGTCCCTCTTAATACTAAAGTACTCTCCATGATGGAAAGGGCTGCTTCTAAGAAATGGGATCCATTGCTTTAGTTGTTGAACAAGAAAACATTGAATTGTATTTCAGTTATCACTTGCCTTCATCATTGTTGATCATTTAGGATACGAATTTGTTTAGAGTTCAAGTCCTTTGAAGCAAAATCCAAAGGTTTTGTTGCCATACTAAAAGTACTCAAATCATTGCAAAAGAAGGCATAGAATAAATCTATTATTATTATAGTCGTGTTAAGTGTGTTCATATTTGGCTATAGGTTAGCAGTGTATGATGGAAAAAATTTAATGGCTTTCTTAGGGGACTACAATTGTGTAATTTCACCTTTTTATACATTTTTATTTAATAACTTGATGATGTATATAGAAGTGAAGCTAAAAGGAAGTGAATTTGGTGTTTTCTTGGATCTTTGCCAGTGGATAGAGGCCAAAGATATTGTTAGACATCCTACAAAGGCTAGATTATGGTTACAGGAAGCTGTAAGATTCTACAGGTGTATATAAACAGAAACTTCTCTGGAATCAGCATCCTGAGCCTAGAATCATTTCCTTTGGAACTTGGATTATAAAGATTACGGCATTGTGGAGGGAGAGGCTTATCAGCTTGAGGATAGGGAAGAGAAAGTTACAGAAAAATCTGGATAATCCTAGCATCTTTCTCAGTGCAGTGCTGTCTGAATGAAAGCCAGACAATTTGGTTGAAAGCTTCAAAGGCCTGTGAGTAGCTCTCCTGGTAATTTTGACTTGATCTTGTTTTCTATCTTCTGGTTCCTATGGAGGGGGAATCTTAAGTCTATTTTGAAATAATTAAGGCTGTTGAGTAGATTCATAAGGAAGTCAAACATCTCACTCTTCTGTATGGATGCCCTTCTTTGACAGGGAGAACTATCATATGATGGGGATGGAGCACTTGTTATTCCTGCAGAGGACCTAGGTTCAGTTCCTTGCATCCACATGGTGGAAAAGCTATTGGTGCCTAGTAGATAGAGGCCAAAGATATTGTCTGATTCCTACAAAGATAGCCCCTGGAACAGTTAATTCATCTCAGAATATTAAGAGTGCTGAAATTGAGGTATATATTTCTTTTCTGTACTTTTCAATCTCATCATTAAAAAGATTAGTCTCATGCTCCCATGATGTACACAATCATTTGTAACAGTCTGTAGCAGTGGTTCTCAACCTTCCTAATGCTGTGACTCTCTAAATAGTTCCTCATGTTGTGGTGACTTCCAACCATAAAATTATTTTCTTTGCTACTTAATAACTATAATTTTGCTACTGTGATGAATTGTAATGTAAATATCTGTGTTTTCCAATGGTCTTAGGTAACCCCTGTGAAAGGATCATTTAACCTTAATGGGGTCATGACACAGGTTGAGAACTGCTGCTGTATAGTGTTATGTGTATCAGTAAGAAATATGAAAACCCCCAGTGGACTGTCCACATCATTCAAGGGCTGGACACTTCGTGTCTGTTATTCTCAAGTAAAACATGAATGTACCGCAGTGTTAATGTTAGACTGTTCCTGCTTCTTAATTCTACATTCTAGATTCTAGAACAGGAAATCAGCACCAGACCAGGTATGGTCTGAGGGCAAGTACCCCAAGGAAGAGGGGTCAGCTATGAAATTGGAGTGAGTCCACATGGGGTTTGTGTGATGTGTGAATTGTTTTCCCTTGCTCTTTTCTAAAATTAGTTTTTAAAAATGATCAAGAATAATTGTTGTAATGACAAAAACTACTCTATAGAAGATGGATACTTCTTGCTAAGGAGGTAAAGGTGAGATTTGAATTGGGAGAATTCCAGATGACTCCCAATGCAGCCTGGGCAATTGTCGCTGTTAGGCCTGAATGACTGGGGAGTAGGACAGAGAGGAGACTGTCCTAGCCTATCAAGATAAGTCCCATTTAATCATAGGCTCTTAGTAGGCAGAGAACTTTGGCTGGAATCAGATGCAGAAAGTGAAGGTAGAGTAATTCAAAGAATGAACATTTAGTTTACTTTTTTTGTCTTTGATGAGCATTTAATTTACTTGTTCCTGGCTTTAAGGCTGAACTGTCCACAATGTGAGTGGCTTCTGAAAGCCAGAGGCAAGAAAATGGGTTCTCTGCAGTGTCTCCCCAAGTGCTGGGATTAACAGAAGGAACTATTCCTGTTCTTATTAGTCCAGTGTAAGTGAATTGATTCCAGTCTTAAAATGGAGAGAACTGATGTGTGGTTTTAAGCCACAGTTTTTTGTGATAATTTGTTGTGTTATCTATAGGTGATATATCCCTCACTATTTCTTCTAGACTCCCAACTGAAGTATTTTGTGTGTGTCCTCTTTCTCAGCAAGTTAGTAAACCAACCCCTTCCACTCCATACCCATAAAAAATGTAAAAAGGAAAAAAGAATTCTGTCGGCTCTGGCTTCTGTCCTTCTACCATTCTTAACAGCCCTGAATTTTAGTGCTGATTTAGATTATTAAATCCTATGAATGTATTTGGGTGTGATGGCACACACCTTTAATCCCAGCACTTGGGAAACAGAGGCAGGCAGATCTCTTGTGAATTAGAGGTTAGCCTGGTATACCTAATGATTTCCAGGACAGCCAAGGCTACTAGTGAGACCCTGACTTAACAACAAAAATAAATAATAAAATCCTGTGAATGAGTGAAAAGAAATCTCAGAAAAGATAGAGTATATTTCTCTTAAATTTACTCCCATCCCCTCCCACTTGTGTGGCTAAGAAGGCACATTTCAGCATCATAAAGCATGTGTAGAACCCAGGAATGCCATGGCTAGAGCAGGGTTTTCCATCCAACATGGAGATTGTGGGAACATTTATAATGATGGCCACTGTCTTAATAATTTCCATTAATCTACATCCTTTTGATGCTAAAGTTATCAGTGCTCAAGTATGGCTGCAGATTGTTCATTAGACTGGGCCTCTTAGTTGTCTTGTTAGTTCAGCAACTGTGTAGAGTACCTGCAGTACTCCTAAGAGTTGGTACTACAGTAGAATGCAGAACAAGGTGTTTACAATTCAGCAGGGGAGAAAAACAGGTACACATCATATATCAGATGGTTTTTGAGACCTGGAAGAAAAATAAAGCTGAGAAGGGATGGGGTGTATGTGTTGGACAGAAGTGATTACAGTTTTAAAAACAGGTCAGGGAAGTCCTCACTGAGATGATTCATAATGACCTATGAAACATGAGGGAATGAGCCAATAGTTACTTAGGGAAGAATGTTCCTGCAGAGGCAAGAACATATTGTATTTGAGGAACAGCCAGAAGACCACTGTGACGAGAATGAGATGATGTGAGATGGGGCCAGGGAGGTAACAGAGAGCAGTTAATTAAAATACTGCTGCCACTCCCCCCCACCCCCAAATGCTAAGACAGCTATGGTAACCTGTATAATTGTTGAAGATACTCTTCCCCACAGATGTATTGCACATCTCCAACCCGTGAATTTAGGTTTGATCATTCACTTCATTTCACAGTGAAGGGCAATTACATGTGTGACATGTGAGGGGTGTGAGTGATGTCATGTAACAAGACGTTAGGGTTTAGGGAGGAGAAACCTTCCATCATGTCAGTTACAGGGAAGAGCAATTAAAGAAGTGGCTTTATTGCAGAGGCAGGTGAGGAGAACAAAACTTTGCGAAAAAAATCCATTTACAGAAAAACATCTATGACTCTGAAAAGATAAATGGTTTCAGAATATGAACAACCAAATCTGAGCAGAAGAAAATAACTAATAACTAATATATAAGTATATGCTTTATCTAGGCTTATTTATGCTTTAACAGGCACTCAGCATTCATGGTCATTTCTGAGAAACTAATTTCAAGTTTTAAAAATTAAGTGTCTTATTCAGTGGCTCTTAGTATTCTCTCATAATGTTGTTCAGTCACCTCCATTCTGTAATTTTGGGACAGTTTTCATTATCCACAAGAAAACTAAATATACACGTTAGCATTCTTCTACTCCCCAAGACCCTGGCAACCAGTAATCTATTTTCAGTGTGTGTTGGGAATTCTATACTTTGTACGTCCATTAAAAAAAATAAAACGTGGCTTTTTGTCACTTTTTCATTTCATTTAGCATATGTTTTCAAGGTTCGTATTGTACTAGGATTCCTTTTTGTGGCTGAGAAATATGTCACCATATGATTAAAACTATATTTTTTGCGTATTGGTTGATGGATATTTCAGCTTCCACTTTTTGACTATTAAGAATAATGTTGTTCTGAACACATATACAAACTCATGTGCCAATATATTTTCAGTACTCTTAGGTAAATACTTAGGAGTGGAATTGCTGGGTCTTTGCTTGCTTTCTGAGGAACTGATGTCCGTATCACTTGAACCACATTGTTTCTACCAGTGATGTATGACTGTTTTGACTTCATGTCCTTACCAGCATTATTTTGTGTCCTAGTGGTGTGCAGTTGTTACCTTGGGAAAATTTTTTTTATGTAGTTAAAATATATACCTTATCCCACAGGTTAGCATTTTTTTTTTCTTCAGGGGAAAGATAGTATTTTAAACTGTGTACCATATCATTTCTCCTGCAACTACTCAGCCACAAGTGACTGTAATGTGGAAGTAGCTATATGTTGAGTTGTAAGCAAATGAGTGTGAATGTGTCCAATAAAATTTTATTTATGGAATCTGAAACTTGAATTTCCTGTAATTTCAACTGTGAAATGCAATTTAAAAAAATCGTTTCGCAAAGTAAGCCAGGCCTGGTGGTGCTCAACCTGTAAATCTTAGCACTTAGAGGTACTGACAGGAAGATTGCCCCAAGTTCTGGGCTAGCAAGGACTATGTAGTAAGAATCAGTCTCCAAAATGCAAAACAGAACTATAAAAAAAAATATATTCTTTGCCCAAACACACAAGATTTGGACTAGCTTTTACCCAAGGGCTACAGTTCGATACCTGCTCTACACAAACTATTTAAATGGAAAGGCAAATTGACGAAACTTCTAGTTGAGACTATCAAGCATTTTTTTTGTCATCTTGGCATAGGCAAACATTTTTAAGTGAAATGAATATCAGAGAAACACATAGAATAAATTTAAGAATTCCTGTTCATCAAATAGTCTCCATTATGTAAGTGAAAAGGCAATAGAGAAAAGACTATTGCTGGGCTTGCATAGGAGTGGTATTCGGCTAAGTAAGGGATCCAGCATGTCAGAGAGAAAACCCATTGAAAATGTGGGCAAATGCTTTGGATCTATGCCATCGTGAATGAGGAAATCCAAGTGGCCAGTAAGTTCATGGCAGTGTCCAGTTTCATTACATGATATCCCAAGATACTTTATCCGGATGGGTAATATGGAAACAAATGTTGACAAAGCTGTGTTGACAGCAGCATGCATTTTGCTTATCACTCAGGAGGAAGTCTATATATTTCCAGAAAGAGCTGCAGTCCTAGACCCTGGTCAAGATGTTCACAACAGTTTCTACTTAAAAAGAGGGAGGGGTGGGATCTTACTATATAGTCCAGTTTGGGGTGGAACTCCCTATATAAGCCAGGCTGGCAGAGGGACTCAGAGAGCCTCCTTCCTGGGTCTCCAAAGTACGGGGTTTGCGAGTGCTGATGTTGCAAATGTGAGCCATGAAGGCTGGCGCCCAGCCATTTCCTCTTACAGTTCTGGACACAGTGCTGATGCCCACCTATGCGCCATGGAAAATTAGACCATCACGTGAAAGTGAAGCTGGCCACCCTCAGAGGAAAGAGCCACAAACCCCTGCTGTACTCAGCAGCATTGATAAACCAGCATTTGAGCGGTGGACGAGGAGACATGGTTTCAAAACTCTACGTGCTGCGGATGTAGCTGAGTGAGGGACTAGAAGTTAGTCGCTTCCTGATAGGCAGATGGGGAGAAGGCCTATGGCTAGGGCATAGCGATGATGAATTTACAACGCGTCTGGCCGCTTCCTCACCTTCCTGACCTGAGACAAGAGCCTGGCAGCGTTTCAGTTTGTCTGCTGCTGTTACTCTAGATTTTTTTTTTTCCTCCCTGCCTTTTAATTCTTTAACTGGCGAGAAAAAGAACTCTATCAAGACCCCTAGCTGGTAACACAGAAAGGCGCTGGCCTCGCTGGGCTCCTTGGGCCATATCCCGCAGAAGGGTAGGTGGGCAGACAACGGGAAAGGAGCCATCTCAGGAGGACGACCTCACGTGGGAGGTTTGCGCAGTCGGTAATAGGGGGCTGGAGTTTTTCGGTTCATTAAGCCTCCGCAGTTGGCATAGACGAAAAGCTTCAGAGCTCGAGATCGGAAGGCAAAAGGAAGCGGGTTATTACGGATTTTCGCACCCAGCCTTTACTGACCTCGGGCAGCTCAGGCAAACCTCACTCGGGAACCTAGCGCGCACACACGCAGGCCACTTAATACCGAGTCGTGAGGGTTGTGCCCTTGGAGGTGACTGGGCATCTCCCGATTATCTCCCTTGACCTTGGTGTCTGGATGCCCTGGGGTCTGAAGCAGAGGCTGGGCGGTTGTAGCTTAGTCGTGCCCTTTGGCCCTTTGTCCTGGGTGATCCCACGTGTCTTCTCACCCCGCAGGACACAGATAACAGTTCTTTCTTCTTTTGGGTCGACTCCTTGAGGTTTGCCTGCCTGTGTCAGTGCGAACCTCGAACCTCGCTGCTGTTTCCCTCTAAGTCCTCGTGCAGACTCAGCGCCTCCTCGCCTCGCTCCTCACTCCCTTCCCTTCTCAGGGTTAGGGACAGGAATACCTGTTTCCTGTGTCCACTCCCATGCTTTCTTCTCTGTACCTTTCTGCCCACCAACCCTTTCCCTGCCTCCCTTTTTCTCACAGAGACAGCGTCCCCACCCTGCACCTGTGCATTCTTGCTTTCTCTTTCCTAGAGGCTGTGAAGTCTCCCAGCAGGTCTTCCTTCTCTCCCTGCTGGCTGCTACATTCCCCTCATCCACCACAACAGGTGAACTGGGTTGCCTTTACCCACAGGCCCCTAATGTCCACTCCTTTCTGGAGTCAGACATCCCAGACTTGGATGGGTTCTCAACTCAGCACCTAGTGTAGTCTCTCTGTAAATGACCGCTTCCTCTCCATCCCTCGGCTTTTACCTTGAAGTTTTTTCTATTATGCACGCCCCTCCCCGTTGTGTCTTCAAAATCCAATTCCCAGAATCCAATTAGTTCCTCACTTACGTTCTCACTACTTTCTCCCCTGCCTCTGACTCTCCCTAGGTCTATTTACCAGACACCAGGAGCTTGTCAGAATCATGACCTTTCACCACTTTAAACCTTGACCCCTTCAGCTCAGGAACTTGTCCTCACAAGCCTAGGCATGGGGCTGCTAGCCCAGGAAGTAATTGTTGCTAGGTTTACAAGTGATAAGAGCCTGCATCAAATTGGAAGTCAGAGCTCCAGCCTGCTATCCTGGGCAGTGAGTGCATTCTCAGTTTGCTTGGCCTTGTGAGCGACGGTAAGAAACTGGAACAGTTTTTCCTAATACAGAAAACTATCGGTGACTTGGGGGGTCCAGCCCCTCCATAGTCCCCTCCCAGGGTCCGGGAAGAATCTACAACCAGCTGATAATTAATCTTTGATAAAAAGAAATGAATCTATATACACGAAACTCCTTAGTTCATACACTTTATTATTCTGTGATAGTTCTCTCTCTACACAGCTTCTTTTCTGCTCTCATGTCTAGCTCCGTTCTTGCCTGATTTCTCTCTATATTTATCTACTGTCTCCTCTAGGTTCTATCTTAATTCCTTAATCTAGTTCTGTCCCTTCGAGGTTCTCATCTATCTAGTTCTTTCCCCTATCAGCTCCTCTCCCATCTCCTTCTCTCTCATCTGGCTCTTCCTCGTCTTGTTCTTCCCCATCTGGCTCTTCCTCATCTTCCATCTCGTTCCTCTAGTCCTCTCTTCTAGCCCTTCAATCTAGTTCTTCCCCATCTCAGTTTGTTCCTCTCAAGTTCTTACCCATCTAGTTCTTCCATTCTCTTTTCTCTTCTCCGTCCTCTGCCCTGGAAGTCCCGGTATATATAAGGAAGGTCCGAGCTAAATTGTGTAAAGCTATTACTTAACGTCCACCTGACCTAGGCGGTGTCTCCTTGTGGAATTTACCTTAAGTCAGGAGACTTGTATGTGGGCTGTTATCATTGTTAGTCCTCGGAAATTGGGCGACCACCTGGGTGGTGTCTCCTTGTGGAATTTACCTTAAGTCAGGAGACTCGCCTGTGGGTGGTTATCACTGTTAGTCCTCGGAAGTTGGGTGACCACCTGGTGGTGTTTCCTGTAGTCCTTGAAAATGGCTAGGGGAGATATCTGATTCCAGAGAAAGCCTTTCCTGAGGCTGTTCCCAAATGCCTGGAATGTGTATGTCTAGAGAGTGATCAGTCCACATTATTAGCCCTTTTTGGGGAAAAATCAATTGGGAAAACTATGAAGGCACACATGATTTTTATAACAGAATACAGCTGATATATAACAAGCCAAGTAACACCAAAAACTCCTTGGGATTTGGCTTCCTCTGGAGGAATTCCCTGATTCCTCCAGGTAGTGACTTTGCCATAACCAGCTGAGTTCTTCTGATATATTCCTGCGGCCTGCAGCATAAAACAAATACAGGTCTGTATATACCATAAGTTTGTAGAGTAAGTGTTGGATGGTAACCATGGTGTATTTTGTTCTTTGCGTTTTTTCATTACAGTGCGTCAGTCAGATCCACTGCTTAAACATTGTTGTCTGGAAGAGTATGGCACACAGTAAGTGTCCAGTAAATTTTTTCTGAGTGAATAAAAAAAAAGGCTGTCTCTGTAACTACAAGATCACAGAATGAGTGTGCAATGCACCCAGCACTTTTTCTTTCTTTCTTTTTTTCCTTCCTTCCTCCCTTCCTCCCTTCCTCCCTTCCTCCCTCTCTCCCTCCCTCCCTCCCTCCCTCCCTCCCTCCTTCCTTCCTTCCTTCCTTCCTTCCTTCCTTCCTTCCTTCCTTCCTTCCTTCTTTCCTTATCCTTTGACCATTGTAGAGCTTTCCCATTTAGAATACATGTTGCCTCAAGCAGTATGGAGTATGGGGTGTGGATGTGTGGAGATGATATGCTTGATGTAGTGAACTTGGCCACTTGCTTTTTTCACCAGTTTGTGTGGTACTCGGAGCTTTCAGCACTACTGTTTTCCCTACCGGGTAGTAGTCATCTTATGAGGATGTTGAGTTGACATGTTTCTTTGTCTCCTTTTCCTTGTGAACATGCAAGTTTTCAGATTTTGTTTTGTTTTGAGATGGGCTTGCTGTGTAGCTCAGGCTGGACTTGGTCACACAGTCCTCCTGCTTCAGCCTTCCAAGTACCAGGATTATAATTTACACCATCATGACAGACGTGTTTTCTTCCCTTCCCTTCCCTTCCCTCCCCTCCCCTCCCCTCCCCTCCTCTCTCCTCTCCTTTTTCTTTTCTTTTTGTAGTTCTAGCAGTACATTAGGAGATACATGAACATTGTCCTTGTGAAACAGAATTTTTATTGCCTGACAATTTTCAAACTCGTTTGACCCCTTGCCCAAACACCTAAATTTAGTCCATGTAATATGTTATGTATTATGTTGATGTGTATATGACATGTATATTTATGTGTGGATTTATATGGAATTTTGTGTGTACATATGTGTATCACATTTATATGTGTGTTCATATGT